GACAGGTAGACTTTATTTAAATGTTTTGATTTTATTGCTATTCTAGACAAGGCTCTTTTAAAATAAGAGTCCATGATTTCTATATTTGTCACTTTTAAGAATCTCAACAGGAATAAGGTTTCCAAAACCAACCAAATCAATAGGGCCAAAATAGATTGAATTGTAGCCCAAAGCTTCAACTGTATAAGAATCTTCAACTGTGAAGCGTCAACCCAGAGAGGTAAAAGCGTTAAAAGGAGGAGACAAGTGATGGTATGCAGATGCACAGCATCACCTGCAACTATGGCAGTAACATCTTTGACTCTGTAACTGAAGACAAATTAATATTGCTGCTACTCTGTAAGGAGTGGGGGCTGCTCTCCTGGGCCGTGGGGGCAGGGTGAGAAGGCATTTACTTCTGCAGAGAAAGAGAGGCACTGGAAAGACGAGACAACTGTTGCCTTAGAGGAGGAATCATTACTTTTTCATGGGATACCTTAAGTCAGAAAGGGTACATAAAAGGCAATAGAAAACATGGTCCTGGTCTGGATTGAAACACAAGATTTGGCAAGGGATTAATACTCTGCTCTGTGTTTGTCAAAAGCAGGGAGAGACCCACGTTTTTTTGCAGAAATCCCCTTCATGTCCTCCCTATATATCCATCAAAGTATAGTGCTCCTGGACTGCAGTGCGTTCACGTCCAGCCCCGAATGATTTCTAATTCTTTTGCTTTTGTACTTGCTATCCAAAAGCAATTATTTTGTCTTATGTATAAATGAAGCCAGTACCTCACACTTGTCCGTTGCCTTCACATAGCTTTCTAAAGAAAATCAGTCACATATTGGAACAGTTTAACCAATTTATTATCTAAATAGAACTTAGGAAAATAATAGAAAGCACCTCACAACCACCCAGAACCAAATGCTTTGGTGGGAAGACATCATAAGGCCACGTTGCAGACATATGTTACTCGGGGAATGACTGGTTAACTTAAAGTCATATCCTAACGTCTCTGCGTATTACAAGTAATTCTAAGAATCTGTGGGGTTTGCTTCATTTGACCTCCCATTTTGAAGATGCATCTCACTAGAGTCGTAGGAAGGCAACACTGAGTCCAGTGAGAAGCAAATAATTTACTAGAGTTTCTGTAATTACATGGTGGATTTGGTGTAATGAAATCTGGTTGAATAGGAACGTGTTCTTTTGAAGCTGGAGAGAGAATTGGTATTAGTGTAAATCTTTATTAAATTCCAGAAAATGCTGGAGGGGTAAGGGGCTTGCAGTAGCTCAGAGTTAATGGAGTTATTTACAATGTCAATAACTTGCACTGCTGTAATGTTCCCCATGAATATGTTAACAAGTAATCACAACTGAAAAGTAACTTTGAATGTGACATGTTGTAAGGAGGAGGATGCCAAACGTCACTCTTAGCCAGACTTAATAAATGACAAGCAAAGGAAAATTGCTTAATGGGGCATTTCTTTGCTTAGGAGTCTAACACTTTGGAGGAAATATAAATCGTGAGGAATTTACAAAAGGAGTGTAAAACGCCTTCTGACCAACTGGGGTTTTGATATCCTCTTGAAAGACTGTCACAGCAAACACTTTAGAAAAGAGGTGTATTGAACTGAGGGTTCTAACATCTAAATAACCTAGGTTTCCACTGCATGCCCCTTACCCAGTAAAAATGAAAGAAATGAGGCTGTGCATGGATTACTGAAAGATCAGAGAACTGCTACTGCCCCGTGCACAACCTGTACCTACAACAAATATTTTACTGGGCATTTTGAGGCAGCGGGACTAGTGCTTCACATTCTGGGTTTGCCTATGAAATGGGGGCAGATCCAACAAAAGCATGGGTGAGATAAAAGGTAACAGTTCTTCACTCTTTTTTCTAACTAAATCATTATGGGTCATCAGATGAAACTAGCAAACGGCAAAGTCAAAGCAAACACAAACGGAGGTCTTTGTTTATAGACTGCATAGTTAGACCTTAGAAGTTTCTTACCACAGAGACACTACAGAGATCCTACTGGCCAGTGCTGGAGAAGGGATGCTGAGCTAGACATATCCTAGTTTGTATCCTGTATCTCAACAGATCAGTATGGGATGAAAAATTTAAGACAGCAATGAAATGATAGACTTGCTGAGTACCAGTTACTGGTTAGCTCTAGTCCCAAGTAAGCATACAACTTTTGTCAAGGTAAAAGGAAAAGGAAAGAATAGCTGCAATACTGTTCATTAAATCTCTTTTTTTTTTTTTTTTTTCCTATGGTAATTTAACAGATGGAATATCTTTAAATACATCAGTAGAAAAGAAGTTGTGGAAATGAACTTACTAGTCTTCATTTATGTTTTCAAAAACTGCCTTTCCCCTCCCTGCATTTGATGTGGCACTTCTTTTCACTTATCTCCTTCTCAGTAGCCTCTCTTTAAGAACTACATCGCATACCTTTAAGCTCTGCCATTTAATCACTCTTTTTCTCATGTTTTTGTTTCCTTCTTTGGTGGTGGGAAGCAGATGCGTGGCTTCTGCAACTATCAGGAGGTACTCATGGTCTCCATGCTGAGATAAAAGTTTTAATTTCCTCATCCCTCGCATTCATACCATCTTGATTAGCTTCTCCTTTCTCAAGTCCCCTTCTCCAAAGTTTACAGTCAATTTTCAAAATAGTGAGAATTCACATGTGAGTCTTCTGCAGTGGATTGAGTTTAATTACACTGCAGTCAGTATTACTCAGAGGTTTAATGATACCATTGCACAGAACAGCCCCCTGTGTTTCTTCCACCAAATTTGAAAATAATTTCAAATTATTGTGAGTGACTGAGGATTAGGATCCAAAAGTCAATTCTTTGTATTAACTAGAAATTTCATCTCTGCCTCGCTTAAGCATTTAAGCAGATCAGAAATTGAAATAAACCCCTATTTCTGTTTTAATCGATAGTGCTGCCTCATTTCTACTCTGGACAGCGTTCACTCATTTTCCTTTTCCTCATCAGAAATCGAGTAACATAACAAATATTTTTATTCTTTCTCTTTTATAGCCATGTAGATTTTTAACAATTAAACTTCTGAAAGTGTTACCTGGAATAGTAGTTGTAACTGTACTGTAACTGAAGAAAAAAGAAACATAATTAATTTTTAGTGAAGAAATGAATACTAACGGAAATAGGACTTAAGTTTAATCAAAGATGTAACCCTAGAATCAGTAACACATCTTCACTTACATGCACTCTTTCAAGAAATGATCCATTTCCTGACAGAGTTGTACCACTTCCGTTAAGAGAATTATTGGGCTTGGATGCTTAGCATAACTTCTCCTTTCATGGTAACACATTAAGTGGTTTTAGAGAGATAAAACTGTTGGCCAGAGCAGATTCATACAAAAATGCTTTAAACAGCAAATATACCTACCCAATCTACTTTTCTAACAGTTATCAAGCACAAAATGTTCAACTGCAGAGTTAAAAAAAGTCACAGAGAATATATGTAAACTAAAAACTAGAACTAATACTGTAATAAAATCTCACACAAAAGCTATTTCATGTCATGACTGTCTTCACAGGGAGTCCTTCCCTAAATTGATTTCACGGTTTCCAAAATTTGATCCTATTTTTCCCTTGCTGTGCAAACGTACTCCATGGAGCGATGAAGGGGAACATTGTGTATCATCTGGCTTTCCAACTGTTGTACTTTGAAAGTAACACCTATTTCTGTAACAATTCAATGACCATAAGAAAGTGCCAGACACCTCCAACTTTAGCTCCACAGAAACTACGTTCTTCCTATGCAGCTCCCCTTCAGAAAGTAAGTAAATCAAGTATCTCAAAACTGTAAAACAGTGACACTCTATAAGTTTGCAGCTACAGTACCCATTTTCTTCTTTCTTTTTCTCTCTCATTTCCTCTCAGAAGTCTGTACACTGAGCATTTCAATTTCACCTCAGCTCTCAAACCATCTTGGCACACCACCTCTTTTAGAACCAAAAAGGAAATGTTGTGACACTTTTTCTTAAATGAAGTTCAATAATATCTTTCCATGTGGGTATTTCCCACAACATTTTTTCCTCCCTCTCTTCACAATAAGGAATGGCAAGTAAATACACATATTTTTGAACAGTTGTGCTGTGGAGTAGAGAAGGGACATCTATCTTTAGAACTCTGTTACTCCATGTTCCCAAACTTGCAGCACATGCTCAGCCCAAACACTGAACTGTTGGTTGACTGACCTGTCAGGTTGCTCTTATCGTACATATGAATATGAAAATGCTACTTGAAAAAAATACATTTACACTATGGAGGGAGAGTGGCTCTGCATCACTGCATAGCTCTTAATAGTTTTTACATCAAATATTTTTCATTATAACATTGGAGAGGTAATTTACTGGATGCACATCATGTAGTATTTTTTTGTTCAGTGTCATAGCACACACATAAACGAGTATTTAAAATGCAAGTAACTTTTTCAGTCAGTTAATTGCACCCAGAGCTGCACTTCTCAAAGCACAGTTTACATAGCAAGGGTGGTTTTACTTCTCCAAAGGAATCTCTTACAGACCATTCTGTACTCCCTGTGGGTCTATAGCTCATCATTGTTTCTGTACTTTCACATGTCTGCTTTGGCTTCAGGCTCAAGCCAAATTTCCTCCCTCATCTGACTCTGTGACTGTCTGTGTTGGTGATTTAAGTGGGACAAAGGCAGAATCCAAGTGCTGGCACACGACTATCCATACTTCTGACTGCTGGCATGCTTTTGGGAATGGTTGGGCCCCTGACTAGTACTGTCCCAGGCAACGTCCTCGTACAAGTCAGCAGCTACTATAGCTCAGTAACAGTTTGCAATCTGTATAAATCCAGTAGGCAGCATAGAAAAGGCGACCCTGTTTTCAAGGGGAAAGAATTTAGCTGCGTGCATGCAAGCTATGCCATGGTATGTCATGCCACTTGCCCTGACACCTAAAGAATGAGTCCTAATCTGCTTTATTTTCTAGTACAGATGTAGCCTGGATGTTTCCACCTACCTGTAAATCCTGTCTACCCTTAAGGCTGACAAAATTGTGTCCTTTTACAAACAACCACAAAGTCATGTGATACTGCTGCAAAGACAAAGGTGATTGAGGTAATGAAACCAGCTCACTATGCCTGGACCATTCCACTAAAGGTAGGTCCACTCTTAAATTGAGCACGTGACTGAGTTTAATTCTTCACTTTTCCCAAAAGTTCAGTTGAAAAGAAAACTTGAGCATAGTCTTGTACTCATGGACTATTGACAGGAGGTTTAGGATTTCAGTGCAAGTATAGCTCTTTTGTCTGTCAAAAGGTGGGATTCCTTCCAAGCATTCAGTAGGACTGCTTTGCTGTTTCTGGATATGACACGAGAATCCCACTGCGAAATATTTTAACACTGGCGAGTTTGTTATGTGAAGTCTTAATTTTTTTAATGGAATGATCGTGTTGCTCTGTTACTTTTTCAAGGTGCAAGCAAACCAGTGGGTCCCTCAGTGATAATAAATAATTAACTTTCAGTTCATGCAATAGTACTTCCAAGCCCAGTCACAACTTAATCCTAAGTATACGGGATAATCACTGTGTATTGCTGTATGAGTAGTCAGCAGCTACCGCAGTGGATCGTTAGCCTTGGTTCGAAGTTTTTGGGTTATTGCCTCGCTCTTCAAAGTTGTTTCAGCTGAAATTTAAAAGGAGAAAAGATTTCAGCCTGAGGTAAATAAGCAGATAAAATCTGTCAAGCTATGAACATCTGAAACCAAGACTATTAGCAACTACTGGATTCACTGCCAGCTCCACTCGCATTGAGTGTTAGTAAGGAACAGAGCGGAGTCAGATTTCAGTTTCTCTCTTCTGAGGCTGCCAGGGACAGTTAGTCCGCAGTGTAGGCTAGTAGAGCCACTGCATGAAATATGATGAAATACAGTACCAGTCTCTTTAAAATCTAACATCTGGGACACATAATGATCAAAAGTGGTTGTTATTCCTTGTAAAGAAGAAGTAAAACTGACACTCCCCACCAGTTGTACAAAGGAGCCGTCAGTTACAAAGATGCCAAAATTTAATTTAACAATGAACTTTATGAGTTTATTGTGTATTTTCATTATTTTCCCTTTTGTAGTTTAATATTATGCTGATATAACATTTACTGTCCCTGCAATAGAGAGGCTTTTAAAATCAAGTGACAACAGTTAGTGAATCAATTATTTTTCAGTTTGAAAACATCTTAGGTGATCAGACCTTGTATACTTATAGTCTTGATAGAATACTGTCAGAAAGGCAGTAACTGGATGGACATTTTCAGTGAAGTTGTGTGTGTACCATATGCTACAGGGAGATACCTCAAGAGAACACCTGCACTGCTTTCTGGAAAACACGTTCAAAAGTTTTACCAGGAATACTATGAAACCCTTAGATAGTATTTTTAATTTCTAGGAAGAAAACCAATTCCCAGAAGCACCCTAAAAACGAGGTTTGGTATTTAAACAATTCTACAGTAGGAAGCTATTATCAACTTTAAATAGTTCAACTTAATCTCTGTACAGGAAACTGTAGAAATGCGTGTTATGTGTATATGTGCACTAATTTTTTTATATAGATGTGTACACACACACAAAAATATACAATACTGGAATGTGAATAAAGGATTAACAGAAGACATTTTATTTCATTGATGTTTGATGTACCAGATTCAGGCTCTGTGTGAACACTGCTGTTGTATGTGACATGGCATTGCAAATTAGCATCCTGTCACACAGCGTCAGAGGATAGGAAGCAACAGAATTCAAAAGTAATGTCAGAAATTACTGTAAATCTGGAGAGAAAAGCGATGTGTGATCTATCTCGCGGAAATGCGAACTGCTTTGGATGTATCCCATCGCTTCCAAAACATAACAGACTGAGAGGCCTAAATGAGATGAACGGGTCTAACACGACTCAAAACAAACGTTCCTTAAGAGCAAACCCAAAACCCGCTGTCAGGGCGGCGTGTCCCACGCAGCCAACAGCACCAAATGAAAACGCCCCAGGCAGTGGCACTGCGAACCGGGTGCGTGGACGCTCCCACCCGGCGCCTTCCCCTCCCGCCTCACAACGCCCCAAGGCAGGCAGCCCCCTCACGAGCGCGCCCCGAGCCGGCATAACCAACCCAGCTCCTCCTTGCGCCGCGACCGCTCAGTGATCACGACGTTTGTTTTATCTTCCGGTAAATTCGGCCCCTTCAACCTCCCAAGAGGACGGCTCCGCTCGCTGCCCCCCCCCCCGAGCTCCCCGGTACCGCCCAGGGCCGCCGGCCGCCTCAGGGCCCGGCCCGCGCTCGCCCGCCCCCCTCCCCTCCGCGGGGCCCCGCAGCCTGGCGTGACCGGAGCGCGTTACCGCACGGCCGCCGAGCGCTGGCCTGCAGGCGGGCGGACATCCCGGCCAGGAGGGACAGCCACGGGGGGGGGGGGGGGCCGCACGCACCACTGCGGAGGGTCGGCGGGGGCTCAGGGCCCTGCGGGAAGCCCACCCCCATTCCCGCCCGTCCCTCGCCCCTCCCTGCCCCGTCGCGCCCCTCGGCGAGGGGGAACCCTGTCCCCACGTACCGCGGCAGCGCCGCTCGGCTCCCCCCCCCCGCCGCTAATGCGAGCGGGGACTCCTCCCTCCCCCAAAACGATGGAACCGGCCCGCAACCCGAGGGAAGGGCGGCCGCCGCCGCCGCCGCCGCCGCTCCTTCAAGATGATTGCCAGCCCCAGCGGTCAATCAGCTCCGTCCCTTTTCTCTAGGCAACCCAGCGCCCGCCCCCGGAGGGTGGCGGCGGGGAGTGGGAGAGGCGGGCGGGAATGTTTACAAACAAGATGAGGGAGCAGAGGGATTGGGGGGAAACCGGGGGGGAGGGCGGGGCTCGCGATTGGCGCAGCCGCTGCCCCAATGAGGGAGCGCGCCGCGCGGCGGAAGGGCGGGGGGAGGCGCGTCGGTGCGTCCTCGGCCCGACAGCCGCCGGGGCGCGCGGGCGCGCGCGCCCAATGAGCGCTGGGCGGGCGGGGGAAGGGAGGGAGGGAGGGAGGGAGGGGGCGCGATCGCCCGAGCAGCAACAGCAGCACAACAGCAGCAGCAGCACAACAGCAGCAGCAGCAGCAGCAGCAATAGCAGCAGCGCAGCAGCCGCCGCCACTCCTCCTCCTCCTCCCCCCGCCTCGTCTCGCTCAGCCTATCCCGGCCGGGCCGCGCCGCGCGCGCTCGGCCCCGCGCCTGGCGGTGGGGCGGGGAGGGCGGCCGGAGCAGGGGGAGGGGAGCCGCAAGGACATGGGCTGGCGCTGAGGGCCGGGGGAGGGAAGCCGATGTGCGTGTGCCTCCCTGTATTTTAATAACTGTTTGTTGCTGGGTGGTGTGGTTTGTTGTTTTTGTTTGTGTTGGTTTTTTTTTTTTCTTTCTTTGTTGTTGTTGTGTTTTTTTTTTTTTTTTTTTCCCCTCTCTCCGTTTTCCCCAAGACGAAGGGGAGAACAACTGTCCGGTCGTCGTCCGTCCGTCCCCGTCCGTCCCCCCCCCCCCCCCGCCCCTAGCACGCCTGCATGGCTCGTCTCCCCCGGAGCGCCCCTGGAAAATAAAATCCGCCTCAGGCCAGGTGACGTCCCCCCGCCTCCGCGCTCGCACACACACACGGGGAGCGGCAGAGGCGGGGGAGCGCCCGCCTGTGAGAACATGGAGGGACCCTCGGGCCCGGCGGAGGAAGGGGAGCTGCCGCTCCTCACCGTCAAGCACGAGCTGAGGAACGGTGAGCGGGGGTGCCCCGGCGGGGGGGGGGTGGGGGGGGGGTGGGTTTCGGGGGGAAGAGCTGAGGGGAGCGCTCCCGCCTGAGGGGAGGGCGGGGGGTGGCGGAGGGGGCCCGGGCTGCCGGGACTTGGGGCAGAAAGTGCTGAGGCAGGAGATTCAAGAGTTGATCGGGGACCGGGAGGGAAATCGCTGTGGGGAAAAAAGAGGATGAGCTGAAAGACGTGAGCAGGAGCCTGTGAAATGGGGGGTGTGGGGGGTGTCTCTGTTTTTGAAGAAAGTATTTCAGTTGGACTTCTGCTGCGTATTTGGCTTCCCTGTCCCACTTCCCTAGTGGTATTTGACGCTGTTGAAGATAAGGGTTAGTTGTTGTTGTTGGTTTGTTTTTTTTTTTTTTTTTTTTTTTTTTGTGTGTGTGTGTGGTTTTTTTGTTGTTGTTGTTTGGTTTTTGTTTGTTTTTTTTTTTTTTTTTTTAATTGTGTGTTTGACTTTTATGGCTATGTCAGTATTGGGAGGGGGGGGCTGTTTGTTACAGTGCTAAATTATGTCGTTTTATGTGACAGCTTTTCTCTGACCTCGATGAAATGCCGGAATTGTAGGGAGGGGAATGTGCCAACATGTAACTGCAGCTATCTGGCTTTTCAGTCTATGAATTTTCTTGTAGCTCAGCAGTTACGTGAAGACCCTCTGGAGTAGTTCAACACGTGAAATATATATATGACCTTTCCAGATACAGCAGAAATGCTCTGTCGTAGGTTGTTGTGTTGGGGAAGATCTTCACATATTTTTAATAAGGACTCTGTGCTTCTTGGAAGTTTCCAGGCAACTTGAATACTGCAGTAAATCTAGATTTAATGTTAATTTAGAAATGCATGTAAAAGATAATGAGGATGGATATTCTCTATGTTTATGAACAATGGAGGTGCTATTAGTCTTTAATTACTTTTCTCTCTTCTTCCTTTTTCTCCATGATGAAGTAAAAGTAAGTATATGATGCTGTTCATTGCAAAAGTTTGAGAGAACCGCCCCCTGGGTTAATGTAATTGAGATTCTCTAATGGGACGATGGGGAAGGCAAGTGATGGTGCTGGGTCTCTTTGGTTATATTCAGCCCTCTGTCCCCCTGTCACTCGGCTCTAGGGGTACAGTGGAAGTGCCCCAGTGGAACATAGCTATCACTGCAGCTTAAAAAAAAAAAAAAAAAAGGCGCTCTTCCTGATAGCTGCGCAGAAACCAAAGGAACTGTAGTTTCCTTCTTTCAAGAAGAAGCAAAAGAACTGGTAGAAAACATGCTAGTCTTGTTGGGTGTTGCTAGATTTCAGTGTGTAGGAGAAAAAGGGATGAAGGAAAAGGAACATGTTTATTCTATATATTTACGCAGCTAGGTTTAGATTTCTTTTCTAAAAGTTGGGACAGCACATATCCCTGTGGGATAGTTATTTAAAGATAGTTTGGTGATTAAACACATTCATATAAACTGAGCAAAGAGTTGTCTGATATAGCATAATAAGCTATATTTTCATGTTGATCCTAATCTTAAAGCTTTATAGATTCAGAAAGTTGCTTTTAACTTAACTTTTAACTTGCTTTTAATGTAAAAATTCCCATTCTTGTGTCTTTTAAGCTTCAGAAATTCAGCTTAATAGGAGTCAGTTGTTTCTCCACTCCTCATTCTCTTCTCCTTATTAAGTAGTTAGAAAACTCTGCTTTCTGAAAAATGCTTTCTAGCAATGGCTTGTCTATTTCTGGAGCATTAGGGTGGAGGAGGGAGCTGCTCTGTCATGTACTCCTGGGAGACTCCTACTCCTGAAGGTGTCAATAGTGTCATTGCTATGCAAGACATATCAAGATACTGTTTCAGAACTTGTCTCTCTACACAGTGCACAGAGATATGGTAATTTGGGGAGAGAAATTGCAGTCAGCTTCTGCTGACATAGAAATAGATAAATAATCCGTAGGATACTTTGGTTATTTTTCTTAGCTTTTTGTACTGGGTCTGGCTGCGTCTGTGCTTAGCTACTGCTGAGGATCAACCCACCACAGTTTTTAAAGCATGGAGCATGATAATTTACTTTTGCTTCGCTTTGGGAAAGAGGGTGAGGGGACGTGCATGAACTAGAAGTGAAGACAGAGGATCTTCGTTGTTATTAAATACTGAGGTTGTATACCATGAATATCTTTTTAATGTGCAATTTGTTTAGATTCTAGTGTTCCCCTCCTCTCTGTGTTCATTCTTTGATGTTGCTAGCTCTGTGACTAATTGAACGATTTAGAATTACATATCGAAAGTAGCTGTCAGTTGGCAGATGAAAAAGAGGTCAGTCTCCACAGTGCTTTGAAAGAATGTACTACTGTGGTAGAAATAGTGGCTTCTTTGAGAAGGGAGTGTCTCATTTTCATGTTGTGGAAGTTGTTGCTTGAACCGCTTGATAACAAACTCAAAGTACAAAGAATTATATATTCAAATCAACTAAATGCTGGTGAACCTACAGTTATACTTTACATTTGCAATTACTTGGGTCTTCAAATTGCTCTAAAAATGTTAAACAAGTTAGAGACAGGCATTGATTATGGTCAAGTGAATAAGTGAACATACTAGAAAACTTGCATTTAAGATTGAGTGTCTTCAAGAATTAAACAGATGATTGTTGTTACCTTCAAGCAAGTATTGCGGCATATGAAAATGCACAGTTAGAGCATATGCAGTGCTATTTCTGCACAGCTTCCAGCTGATTGTTAACCCTATCATACCACGGTTTGACTTCTAAACTTTGACTTTGAAAATACAGTGCTGGCTTTGATATGTAGGGTCAACCTTAATTTTAGCTCTATATCCCATGTTCTTAAAGCCCTGAAGCTCTTCTGTTGCGTGACCATAAAGCAATTGCTGAAAAAACATCACTTCATAGGCATGTAGATTGGGTCTGTGATAGGGAAGGAACTGTGGTGCATAACACTTGAGTGCCTCTGTGAGATGCCATGTGATTTGCTGTATTACCAATACTTGGCACTGCTTTGTGTGTATATATTTTATTTTAATGATGGAAAGAATCAGAATGTCCCTACTGCTGGGGTAACGGTAAGCATGCATGCGCTTCAATGATTGTTCCTTCAGTTGATTATTTTGCAGATTAGACACAGCAGTGATTTTTAGGACACATTTCAGTTAATGATTTTCTCCTAATATATTTAGCAACTCTTTTTTTTTTTTTTTTTTCTTTTAATTTTTATTTTCTTTTCCTGTCACACAGACCTTTCTTCCTCAATAGAAACCTCACAATTCAGCCACTTCAGAATAATCACCATCTATCTTTTCTCACTTTGGGAAGGAAATGAGTTTTTGGGGAAAGTGGAATCACCTTCCCTTTTCAGGAAGTAGACAAAAAAGTATGCCAAAGATCAAATGGTAGGAAATGGTGACAGTTTCTGGTTCTTACTGAAGCTCTACAGTGAAAATAATAAGAAAATTAAATTTTCTGCAACATCTGTTTCTGGAATCTTGGAAAAGGTTTTATTTTTAATAGGTATAACTTTTAACTTTTTTGGAGACCTATGAATTTACGTATTTACAGTGAAAAAAGAATATTGTTGCCTCTTCATATTTTCTGTTTCCTGGTAATGCCGTGGAACTGAACAATGGCAAATGTGAAGCCTATGAGAGAAAAAATCTTGTGTATAGGTGAGGATATGAGCAGAGAGGGAAAGGCTTGTGATGTAGGAAGAAGGAAATAGAACTGTTAACAGTGAGATTTCCCCCCATCTCCTGTTGGCTTCTGTCATTGCTCCTGTTCTGGGGAAAAAAAGAAAAGGATCCTGAACCTTCAGTGTACGCAGCTAGGTAAGAGGTTGCCCATCTTGCAGCATGCATGTGCATTTCCTGCATTGCCCAGTGAGAGGCAGAGATTAGCAAAACTGCAATCTTGAAGGGAACTTGTGAGACATTCCATGAATGTATGGGCGATAGGCTGTATGAATGTTGGTTTTTTTGCTTTAAGACATTAT